TGTGAAGTATCAAAAACTAGGAGGAATCCTAATGAATTGAGAAGCAAATGCTAAAAATTGTGATCACGTTTCCTAGGACTCATCAAGAAATAGAGTCTAGATAATCATTGATAGGATCACCATCAAGCAAAGCTTTTTGATAAAACTTTAAAGGGAATTTGTATGCAAATATTGTGACAACCCTGTGAGTGCGTAACTACTATGTCAAAATTAGGATGGTAGATTAACATCAAGACTTTGGAAGAAGATGATGAAATCGTTGGGGAAATAATTAAATTTAGTATAGCTTTACACCCTCAATCTGATAATCAATTTTAGTGCATCGTCAAATTTATGAAGGACTATTAAAAACTTGTGTGCTAGACTTTGGAGATAGCCGAAATATTATATATTATTAATAGAGAATTACTAAAATAATAAATTTCAATACATTATACGCATAAAACCATAAGAAACACTATTTAATATAAAGTGTAGGTCACCATTGTGTTAATTTAAGGTTGGAGAAAAAGTTTGATGGACCAGGACTGGTAAATGAATCAATCAGAAATATAAGGTTGGTTTGGGTAAGGGTGGCACAAGATAGAAAAAAAGGTACTTTGATGCTAAGTATAGAGGGATTCACTCACAAAGGAGATTAATTATGTATTTCTCAAAGTGACATCTACAAAAGAAGTTATTACATTTGTTTTGGGTGAGACTTAAGCCAAGATTCATTGAATTTTTTAAAATGGTTGAGAAAATAAGCATAGTTGCTTATCATTTAACTCTTATTTCTAGATTTATTGGAGTGCATGATGTTTTTCATGTTTCCTTGCAAAGAAGATATATACCAAATCAATATTTTGTAATTCAAACAACTTCTTGTATGAAAATTTGAGTTATGAGGTAACATAAAACATCTTTGACTTTTAGTACAACTGCTTAAAAATAGGCTATTAATCCATAAAGATTCTCTGACAGAACCATTCTATAAATAAGGCAACTTGGAAAATCTAAAATCAGAGGTTTGTAAAATGCCCAATTTATTTGAAGCTATGATATCAAACTATTTTTTCTAATTTGGGAAACAAATATTTTTGGATGGGTAGATATCACATTCAAAATAACTAAATAAATAAAAAAAATTGATTGAGTCGGTGCAATTCAACTAAGAAAATGAAGGGAGCATACGACCCTTCTCCATTATTTTATCGAAAGTAGGGTGGCAATTTATAACTTTTTCTTGTGAAGCAAAAATGTGTAAAGGGAATGATTGAGATGTAGGGAGTAAGCATTCATCCTCCTCTCCATAATTTGGGGCTTCTTCTTTCATCCACCTCTTCCTTCTTCTTCCTCTCCTTCGCCTTCCTTAGTTGTTTTGGTAGTTGAAGGATAGTAGACAATTGAGATGCTAGGAGTAAGCATTCATACTCCTCTCCATAAGTAAGGACTTCTTTCATCATCCCCTTCCTCCTCCTTCCTCTCCCCCGCCTTATTCTAGTTGTTTTGGTTGTCAACAAATGTGGACAATTTGAATTTTTGGCGCATTGTAAATTAATGAATCATCTCTATGAGAATCTCACAAACATAATTTTCTTTTCCATAAAGTTCTCCTTTGACAAGAAATCAAAAAACTTGTTGAAAGTAACCATGATTTTATCCAATTTGATTCTTTAATTAATGATAATATTCACAATATAATAATTCCATCTACAATTAATTGATATCCATTAATTCTTTGCATCAATTGTATTCAAATTAATGAACTAAGGACTTTCCCAATTTACTATCAAATTTGAGAATTTTGACTCAAATAATTACTTGAAAATACTTACTAAATATTCAACAAATTAGGGCTCATTTCACGTTGAAGGATGAATCAGCATAATTTCAATATTATTATTATTTTTAATTTTTTAAGTATTAAAATAATAATAATAAAATTAGTAAGCAAACTGCCATAATTCATGTCTTATAATGGTTATTGGATCAATTTTTAGAAACCATACCCATTTATGATGCGTGCAAAAGCTTGTATTTTAATTAGAATCTAAGTTGATTTAAATTTAAAGAAATTGACTTTCAGTAGCATGGTTATTATATATCACAATTAGAAGTTCCATAAGCCCTACAACATAAACACTAAAATGTAATCAGTTGATGTTTTTTTTATTCAAGACGTCTACTTCATATCATATAACTACTTTTAGTGATATAATGATTTATGAATTGGGCTCTCTAATAAATATACTAAGAACATGATCAACAAGATAGATATAGATATATATATATATATAGAGAGAGAGAGAGAGAGAGAGAGAGAGAGATTGACTTGCTATTCATATCCTTGATTTAGTATATGAATTACTCTAAAAACTGTTAAACTAATGACACATCATCATATATTATAATCTAATTTCAAATTTTGTAAAATATACTAAATTATATTTTTGAAAAAAAAAATGTTTGTATTTCATGCTTTGTAATCATCAATGGGTATAATGGTGTGTGTGGAAGAAAAACGTACATTTGCATGGCCCTACATTATTTTAGCTCAAGCTAGGGCTAACAAGTCCTCAAACTAATATGTAATGTCGATGCTAACCATCCTATATGGAAGAAATTGCTCTGGATCTATTAGTCAAGATTGGGTATTCCCCGTAAACTAATGATCTAAAACTGACTTTTCTGAATGCAATGACCTGCATATGATTTATCTGAGTTTGATGATTTGCACACCACCTATGCAATGTTGTATCTGTTCACTTTGACGCGTTATTGCTTAACCTTATTATTGATTATTGATTTAATCCAACACATATAAAACTGAACTAAACGTACAAAATAATTCAATTGCTTGGTATTATGTCATTTAACATATAGTTGTGCATCATTACACACATTTTATTTATTGCAAATCTTGTATACATAAGATATGCATATCTATATTTGTTAGGGTCTTCGCTACTATAGTATGATTTAGTTGCTTACTGAGTTGTAAACTCAACATATTTTCATTTTTTCATTTAAAAATGTGCACTAATTATGGGAGTGGGTCAGAGTTATCTAGAAAACCCCATGTTCTTCACAGTAATTGTACTAATATTCATTTGAAACTCTCTTATGTTGCAGTTATGAACTTGTAGTATTAGTTCTCCATGTTCATATTTATTTGGGTGCATTTCATTGCATGGATATGATTGAACTTAATATCATTGATATATTTTGTAATGATTATTGAATATCTAAAGAGTATACTATGATTTAAAAATAAAAAATATATGAAAGATGCTCTATTTTGCAGCAATGCTGTCGAATGATATACGGCAATTTGTGAAGTATGATAACTACCTACCTGCTTATGATACAACAAAAAAACCTTCGATATGCATAACTTGTCCTTGTTTGTCTATTACAATCTCCGTCAATCTCAAGGGGCTACAATCAACATTAACAACTCACCATATTCAAAGCTTTTTTGCTACCAAGCTCAAGTGGTTAGCACAATGTTCAAAATTGTGCAATTGAGTATTGAGGCATTTTTCATTCGTGAGATGAAGAGTAAGGCTTGAGGCGTTTAAAGGAGTAAGCCTCACAGTTTTGAAATTGTGTAGTAGTTTGCTAGAGATGTAAAACACATTAAAAAATTTGATCTTCCCTAATAATGGTTAAAACTTTAATTCTAATAACTTAGAGTTAGGAATTTCACATCATAACATATTGTATTATAAAAAAAATCATCTGAATTGACACCCGAAACTAAAAAAGTTTTAAGTTTACATAAAACCTCCTTTGATAATACGCACAAACAAAGGATCTATACTAACTATCACAATAATATTGAATGATTTTATTTGAACTAGAACTACAGCACTCTTACCCAACATCCAACTAATAAAAGAGAGCAGGGTCTAAATTCCATTTTTTTTCAAATCAAACAAAGCCACAAAACCTAATGTAAAATAGACGGTGTCAGCCGATGCAGCAGGCAACACTAACGAGAGCAGCAAGAAGAGACAGGGGAGACGGTGGTGTGATGGCAGTAGATGCAGCAGTTAGTTATAGGTGCAACAACAAGTTATAGCTGAAGAAGCAGGTAGAAGTGGTGGCGCCAGCGATAGGAGCATGAAGAAGCAGGTAGATGTGGTGGTGTCGGCAATAGAAGGATGAAGCAGCATCGTCATCAGTGTCGAAAGCGGCGTCGGAGGCGACCTCGACGTCAAATTTGGCATTCTCATCATCAGTGGTGTTGGATGATGTTGTAGGTGGCAATCCGAGCATCGGCGTGAAAGGGGGCGGGAGACGGGAGGTTTGAGTTTAAACGAAACGGACATTGTGTAGAATACCTAATATAAAATACGGGCGTGCGCCTCAGCTTTGATGAGGCGAAGCATGCCTTATTGCACGCCTCACCAATACTAAGGAGAACCCTAAACGCGCAGATCGTTTGAGGCATACGTCTCAATATGAATTCTTTTGCCATTGCAAAGAGCGCACATGTAATTTCGTCATTTTAAACACTACGTTGACCAACAGCACCTGTCAACTTTGAGCCATAAATATCCATAACAAGTTTCCAGGATGGATTTCAATCACATGCTAACTAAGAACTAGATTCTATTGTCCATCAATACTTGGTCGCCATAACAGGATATCTTCCGGATAAGATTGAATCATACTACCTGCCTGGATACATCCATGAAGGCGATAGGTTTATTGTTAAATAAAAAGATAAATAATTTGAGTTTAGATATATAATAACTCAGCTAACAAGTACGTAAGTGGGTAAGTAAGTGAGATTTAAGGGGCTTGGATATATCTCGCAAACCGCATGTCACCTTCAAATTAAAAAAACTAAACCACAAAAGATTCAATGCTGTCGTAACGAAAGCCCGTCATATTCATTTGTGAGAACTAACATCAAATAAAAAACGGGTAAAAATTTGATCGATTTTACAAAAGTACCTTTCGACACCACCAACAACACGCAAAAAGGCGATGATGAGATAAATACTAACCTGTGAGCGTAAAGTTGATCAATTCTGCAATTAAAGAAAAAAAACAATAAATCTCAAAATCAGCAGAGTACATAAGCAATACAAAATACAATAGCATATAATAATCGAGCAAAGAAAACACCAAACCCGGTTTCATAAAACAGCAAGCGGAAATAAGAAATCCCTAATTTAAACAAGAAAAGCAGCGACGAATACCTTCCGGAAAAGCAAGGAGGGGCTGAGAGGAGCAGTCGCAGTTGCAAGGAGAGCAGGAAGAGTAGGAGGAAGCTCGTCCCAGAGCTTCCACGACGTGCCAGTAGAGCGGCGGTCCCACGATATAAGCCCCCAGGCCCAGCGCCATCACTGCAAGCAGCAATCGCACGGCGTTAGGGTTTACTCCAACGTAGGAAGATGCGCCTCCGGCCATTAAACTTTATCGATAAAGCTTGAAGTTTAGCGGTGGATATTATGCGAGGTGACGAACTAGACGAAGAATAAATGGAGGAGCCGAAGTTCGTCGGCGACGTCCGCGAGATCGGCTGCGGATCTCGAGAGTGTTTTTCGTTATTTCCTTTTCCTTCTATTGGTGAAATGTGGTGGCCTTTACGCGAGAGATTATTGCGTGCGGACACCGCATGCATCTCTGCATGCGGTGTTCGATCCTGGCCGTAGATCACGGTGATCTACGGTCAGGATTATTTCCGTTTTTTAAAAAAAAAAATAAAAAATTTTAGGTGGGGCCCACCGAAATACATCAGCCACCGAAATCGATCAGGCCCGTAAATCATGTGATTTACGGCCCGGATCGGCGTCCGCACGCAAGCTACGTGCGGACGCCGATCCGCATGGAATAATTTTTCCCTTTACGCGGTAGGGGCCAAAGGCCACTCTACTGCCTGAAACTGCCTACTTAGATTTTATTTTTTCGTACTTTTTTTTAACTGAACTCTATAACCAATATTTTACACCAGCTATTTTAGGTTAATTTATGAGAAAAAACGCATATGTAATTATAATTGCACCCAAATCTGTCCTTTGTTTCATCCAGCACTACCCCTATAACTGTTGATTGTCGTTGTCAACCACCACCTTTTGGTCTCCACCGATCATCATTAGCCGCCGCTCACTTCTTATAATAAGTTTATTCGTACGCCGACTTTGTAAGTTCGAAGAGTGTTTAACTCTCTCCCTCATATGGGACGAAGAATTGTACATGTAATATCTAGTTTATAGTGATTTTTTTTTCAATTAGACTAAACCCTGTGATTTTTTCCTCTTTACAGGGTTTTCACGTAGGGGATTTCCACGACATGTGGACTGACGGACAAACCAGTGTCTTTTTCTGTGCTTGAAGATGAAGGGCACAGGGGCAGACCCCAACCTCTTGATTTCCCTTGCCGAAATTGGGCCGGGAGGAAGAGGGTTGGCTTTCCCAACGCAGTCCGCGCGGTACGGAAGATTGGTCCGCTCCGCAAAGCTGAGCTTTTAGGTTCGCTCCCCAGGCCTTCAACCCTGTTTGCCTCCTTTATCTTGATTGATTGAAGAGTTCAATGCCCGAGCTCCAGCTTTGCTTGCGTTCTTAACCGGCGCTCGTCGGATGTATCACTCATCCCGCTCCTTAGGTCAGGATCTCTTTTTTCTCAGATCAGAATGACTAGCGCCTGGGACTCGGACATTGGCTCGCGGCATCTC